AAAACTACAAATCCCCAGAACCCCACAGCATTGAGCCATGGCATTAAAGTGGTGTCAAACTGCATTATTTCTGCAGTGCGGATGCAAATTATCTCAATTCTTTGCCCCTATCTTTTAATTAAAAGGAGAGATTTGGGCAGAGAGCCAACATGGCCTAGTAGTTTGAGCATTGGACTACGACTCTGGAGACCAGGGTTCGAATCTTGGCTTGGCCAGGAAAACTCATTGGGTGACCCTGGGCATGTCACATTCTCTCAGCCTCAGAGGATGGTCATGGCAAACCCCCTCTTAAGAAACTTGCCAAGAAAACCCCAGGAGAGGGTCACGTTGGCCTAGTCACACTCTCTCAGCCTGAGAGGATGGCTATGACAAACCCCCTCTGAAGAAACTTGCCAAGAAAACCCTAGGAGAGAATTGCCATAAGTCAGAAATGACTTGAAGGCACCCAAAAACAACAGAGATTTGGATACACAAGTTTTCTAGACTACAATTCCCATGCCTTAGAAATATTCATGTTAAAAGAGGGGAGTATGGGAACTATTATTATTATTATTATTATTATTATTATTATTATTATTTTGTAGCCCACTTTTCCTCCAGAACTGGGACTCAAGAGTGGCTTCACAATATAAAAAGAACAATACAATTAAAAACATAGAAAAAAGGTGTACTAAAAAGAAATTAAATTATTACAATGTTAAAATAGATAGCTATTAAAAGAATAAAATACATTTTTAAAAGATAAAACTGTATAAAATATTTAAAGATGAAACAACCTCCCCCTCCCCAGGCTGGAAAGTTCAAGGAATTGCATTCCTTCTCACACACACAAAAAGGAACTTCCCCAAAGTTTGAGTCCCAAATCCTCAGTTAAGGATTTAATACACTTCATTCATAGCAGCACTTCTCCAGTTCTCTTTCCCCAGCTTGCTTTCTTCCAGGATAGGAAGCACACTGCGCATGCTCAGAAGCGTGCTAATGAGAACGAGTTTCGCGAGGGTGCAGTTCCTCCTCCGGTCCAGGCGGGGTCGTTGTCGGCTGTGCTCTACCGGCCTTTCTGGGCCTTTCCTCTCCTTCCCGCTCCTTCTCTCTTCCTCTTCTGCCATCAGCTGTTGGAACCACCCGCCACAAGAGGAAGAAGGAGTGGGTTGGGGTTGGAAACACCTTCGGGTCCCCTTCAGTCCCAATAGGTAAGCACCCCGCCTTTTGCCTTCTCTTTTCCATTTCTAAACCCACTGACAACTTTTTGTTTTTTTTCCCTGCCTGGAACATTGTTGCTGTTGTTGTTATTGTCGTTATTGTGGTGGTAGTGGTCTGTCCAAAAAAGAGAGAGAGGGAGCAATTTGATCTGCCCAGGCTGCAACTTTGCACCTGCATTACTCAAGAGTATAAGAAAGATCAAGGAAGAAAATGCAAAGGCAGGGTTAAGGTTGAACATCAGGAAAACAAAAATAATAACCACCCAGGACCTTCACAAGTTCAACCTAGACAATGAGGAAATAGAAATAGTAA